AGGTGAGATGGGTAGGGGAAAGGTAAAAAGGGAAAAGAAAAAAATGTGAGATAATGAAAAGATGGAAATAAAGTGGTTGTAGATGGGGAGGGGAAGAGGGGGTGAAGGGAGGACAGGGACAAGGGGAAAAAATGAGAACCAAGACTTGTCATGTAGAGGTACAAGATCTCAACAATGAATGTAACCGTACTGTATCCCTAAAATGTACCAATAAACTCAATTAAAGCTGAAAAAAAAAGTTTTTCTTCATCTTTGTTCGGTTTTTGTTGATTCTTTTTCCCATAGAAAGGTTTGAGAGAAGAACTAGGTAAGTACATACAGGATTATAAATAAAAGGGAAGAGATTATGTGAGAAAGAATGATTAACAATGTTTACAAATATGGCAGATATGCTTATTAAGCTGTATTTTCTGTTGTTGGTAATTACTTTAGATGAATACTTTCAAAGATTCTATTCTTGAAAAATCAAATTCTAGTTTTGTATATATGGAGGATAGATATTTCAGTCTTTCTTTTCACTGGTTTTTTTTTTGGTACTGGGGATTGAACTTGGGACCCTATGCTTGTGAGGCATGAGGCAGAACCACTGAGCTAAATCCCTGGCCCTGTTAAACTTCTTCAGCCCATTTTCTATTTGATTTGGTATGTTTCCCATAGAAACGATGCTTCAATAATTCCAGAAATTTGGATTCAATCAAATCCATTACAGAATATTATTTAAAGGAAAACTTTCTCACATTTGACATACAAAATTCTCATATTGTATTGTCAACAATAAAAGTAGATACAATTTTTATATTTATTAAACTAATTTGATTAGTGTATGGCCATAGAAACCTATATTCATTTGAGTTCTGGCTGGCTCTAGTTTAATATAAACTGTAAGTTTTCACAATCAATATAAAAAATTGTTTCTAGGCCATTTACACAAAATATATGAACACAAAGCTGCTATTTAATAAAGAAGCAAGAATCTAAAATGCTAAATAATGCTTAGAGCTCAACACAGTCATTTCATAATTTAATGTTTGCCAAAGTAAAAAGTATTTATGCAAAACTTTGAATGTCCTGGTTAAGCATGAAATTAGTATTCAGTAAGACAAAAGCCACAAGAAAAAATGATTTCTTTTAAACAACTTTTCTCACAGAAAAAATATTGAATTATTCAACACAAACACACACACACACACACACACATATTATATAACTCAAATCTTATAATTCCATAGGTATTGACTTAAATATAATTTGTTTTTGGGGGAAATACACTTTTTATTTTATTTCAATTAAATCTTATACTAGGGCCGGGGAATTACCTCAATGGCACTGTGCCTGCCTCACATGCACAAGGTACTGAGTTTGATCCACAGTACCAAAAATTAAATAAATAAATAAATAGTATACTCATTTAAATGTTATGAAATAGTATTGAGATAGAATATATTTACTGAAAGCATATTTATGAACATATACTTATTTAATAAAATATGCTTATTTAAACTTAGTGGCTTTGATGGCTTTAATATTAGGCATTATTATATTGTCAAAATTGCCAAATTCTTGTCTCTTAACATTTTTGCATCCAGAAGATGCAAATGATACTGTCAAATATAACAAAGATTTTAAAATAGGAATAAAATATGCTAAAATATAATAATTATACTTAACATATGCATGGATTTCATTAACAGTGACCTATATTATTTTCCCTCTGGCTTTATCATTTTTAAACATTGTTTTTGTTTACTTATTTTTTTCCTGACAAAAGATCTAACTATGCAGTCCAGGCTGGCCTAGAACTCATTGCGTAGCGCAGGCTAGCTAGCCTTGAATTCCTAATCTTCCTGCCTCAGCCTTCTGTGAACTACCATAGCCAAACTGTTAACATTCTTTTCATTTATATATAACTTTAAATAGCACTCCTATTAATACAAAGCAATATATATTATTAAAATTTGCTTCTTCAAAAATCAAAGTGCCTTCCTACATTAAGTATATAGCTCATAAAGTGGATGCAATAAGATTAAGCATAGATAATCCTCACTGTCTATGAATTGTTTCCAAAATCACTAAAATTTTTTGTACCCCTAAAACCAATTATGTACACATGATGCTGTGACAGTGCTCAACTGATGGCAAATTCTTGGCACTGATTGCTCTGGTTAGTTCACAGTTGACATCAACCTGTGACCAGGTGAAGAGAGTCTGAATTACTTTTTTGGAACCAATTACTGGGCATGCCTCAGTGAAGTATTTAACATTTCTGATTTTCATTTTCCTGTTATAAAACAGAAAAAAGTACCATCTAACAAGATGGGTTTTCTTTAAGATTTTTGATTAATTATCTATTTTTCTATAAGCGTCTCTTAGGAGCAACATTTCAGTATTCACAGTGAATGGTTCTGGCAATTTTGTACTGCATACCTAACACTAATAATGATATATTTCATTTAATTGAGTGTGTATATATTGTATATGTATTTATGTATTTTTCAGGCACACAAAGCTAGAGAATACTTAAACATATATTTAAAAGGTGTAAGTAAAGTAAATTAAACTTTGTTAATGAATGAAAACTACTGGGCAATTATATATGAGAAGTTTTCTGAACACTAATTTCTTAGAACTTTTCTTCAAAAACATATAAAACATATATTTACTCATCAGACAAATGTTGATTGAATCCAGTTACTTGCGATGGCAAATGGATAAATGTTGTAGATTCCACCAAAATGACACTGAAATAAAATTTAAAAATAATTATTTTCAATTGTACTGCAAGAAAACTTAATGCCCACGAAATATCCTCTTTTACTTTTTACATAATTCATCAAATATAATTAGAATCAGAATTATTTTAATTGTAGGTGCATTTTAAAAAATGAAGATAAAAAAGTAAAACTCTTGAAACCATAGACCTAAGCAAGGATTTTCAGAAAAGAAATTCAACTGCATAAGAAGTAACACCAATAATCAACACATAGGAATAGACCAAATTAAAAAGCTTCTGCATTGCAAAAGAAACAAAACAATACAGTGAAAAAACAACCTAAAGAATGGAAATACATACATATATATATATATATATATGTAATGTTCTTATAATGCAAAATCAGGAATGTAATTTACTTATTTAGTTTAGATATTATCTTTCATATTTATGTCAGGTTAATCCTCAATAAAAATTATGTATGGAGGATTCAAACACAACTTACTAGCAGAATATTAATTGGCTAAAACCTTCTTAAAGTATACACCAATATCTAATTATACTTACCCCTCTCTTCCTGTTATCCTCACTACTGTAAATAACTTCTTAAACCCACTCACCCCTCTGTTCAATGCAGAAATAAAAATATCACCAACTGACATTCCTTTATTTCATTTGCTGTTTTATCTTTTTCCTTCTTCCCTACTTTCTAAACTATTTTCTTCCTTTTCCTCTTCTTTTCTACTTCCCTTATCATCTACATCCCAACCTACTTATAATCATTAGTATTTTGCCATTTTCTAGGTTAATTAAAAAAAACTGCAATTGTTAAAACAGATTTTAGATTACATCATTGATATAAGGCTGGTTCTACAGATACTGATGTAAACTCTAGTTGTTCTCTACTTGTAACAGAGTGACCAGGACTCCTGAGTATGCTGAATAGATGCTTCATCACCAAAACAACCAAATCCAAAGTCACATTACAGGAAGACATGCACTAACTAATGAAATCTCAACATTAGCAATCGAGGTTTTCCTACTCTAATCTTCACTGCTCAGCACAAATACAATTGAAAAGTGAGAAAACGATGCAACAAGATACCTCCAAAAACTCTTAAATACCCATCTTGCAGGCACTGAAGAAGATGAAGTTTGAGGCGAAGAACTCAAAAACAATATGACTAAAATATCTGAAGAGACTTAAGAAATTAATTTAAAAATCCTCAAGATTTCCATTGAGCTTATAGAGAATATAAACACAATGAATCTAATTAATAAAATGCTTATGAAGTTTAAGACACAAGCAAGTGTTGACTGAATTCAAGTATACAAGATATGAATGGCTATTTTTATAAACAGTTAGGGATTCTGAAAAAGTGTCAAGAAGAATCCAGGATATGAATAATTTAACTAAAAGTATGACCAATCGGAGAGGAGACTATAAGAACTTAAGAGTGTGATGATGTAGTAGATCATGGACTCAGTTATATCCTAAACAAAATAAAACAAAACAAACAAAACCCCAAAAATGACAGCAGCTGGATCCAACATGTGCCAAATGAATAAAAAAACACAAAACAATAAATTGTGTGAGTTAAGGAAAGACTAGAAGAAGACATCAAAGGTATAATATGTATATACCAAATTCAGAGTAGAAAATTTTCAAATTTTCCGGGGCCAAGGGAAATAATTTAATAACTACGTAAATTTAGCACTCTAAATAGCTATGGGATATATCACAGTCAAAATCCCTGAAATTCAGCACAGAGAATATTAAAATCTGTTATAGAAAAATATCTAGTAACTCATGAAGGCAAGTGTACCAGAATAACAGATTTCTCAACACAAACCTTAAACACAAGGAGAACTTGGAGTGAGGTATATAAAGTCCTAAAAGAAAACAACTGACAACCGAGATCATGAGTTCCTGTCAAATTATCCCTCAAAATAGATGGATCAAGTCTATTCACAACAAAGAGAACCTAAAGAAATGAATGAGTGCCCCACCTGCATCCAATGCACAGGTGAGGACAGGGACAGACCCGCAGAGAACCCACCTCACTCCGACTTACATCCAGTGGACTGGTGAGGACCGGTTAGCTGAGTGGTGAGCCTAACATGGCCCCAGCCTGCATCCAGTGGATTGGTAAAGACTGGTCAGCCATACAGGCACCAATGTAACCTAACCTGCCAACCGTGCTCTCAGAAACCTGACTGTGCCAGTTCCTGGATGCACTGTGCAGAGGCACAGGTGGTCATAAAGGTCATTTTACTGAGCTCCAGAAGATAGAATGGAAGTGAACAACTGCAATAAAGGCACATAAGACCTCCATAGTGGGTAAGTTGGAGGGATCACAACCTTGCATTAGAATGTTGACAATCTTTAGAGAAAAGGCAGAGGGAACCTGTAGTAGAATCTTGCAGAGTTCAACCCTGCAGGAGGTCAGGGAGCACAACTTGGGCCTCACAGGCAGAATTCAGCCTGAATCTCAGGGGTCTGCCATCCTAAAGGATAAAGTTGCAATACTGAAGAGTTTATTCACTATAAACATATTTTGGGCTGCTCCTCTTGATTTAATTCACATAGCTTAAAGGTGATCGCTTAATAACTACCACAAATGGTCAATTTTTAAACTATTTTGATGCCATTGTGTTGCTGATTTTATCAAATGGGCAAAAGGACTATGATTGATTTAATGAGTTGTCCTTTCTGATATTATGAAAATGAGAGTATCTATGAGTCATTAAAGACTCAAAAGCTAAAGTGCAACTATATCAGAAAGATCAAAGTAGTAATCAAATAATTAAACCAAGTAGAGCACCAACAACAAAAATAAAAATGAGAAAACACTTAAATAAGACACAGACATAATTCCAGTTCACCAACAGTAAGCTCTAGGGGAAATGAGCTAGAAAAGTCTGAAAATCAAACATCAGGACATCCTAAAATCATAGCCCAGGAAGTAACAAAAGAGATCAATCAGGCTCTAGAAAAATTCAAAACAGAGTTAAAATCCCAGATAACTACAGAGATGGTGAGCACAATGAAAGACATGAATAGAGACTCTAGAACAGAAATTGACAAAAAAAAATAGATGAGCTCAGGACCATGATAGAAGCCATGAAGGCCCAACATAAGAAAGAAATGGAAACCATGAATGTACAACATAGGAAAGAAGGGGAATCCATAAAACAATTTCAAACAGATATCCGGGAGATTAAAAATTCCATGGAAAGTTTTTGCAGCATGATAAATGAATGTGAAGCTAGAATTTCAGATATAGAAGATAGGCTTGCAGTCAGTGATGGTGAAAAGAGAGGTCTCTTAAAAATAGTAAGGAATCATGAGAAATCGATCCAACAACTACTATATGGTGCAAAGAAGAATAACATAAGACTGATAGGAATCCATGAAGTAGGGGAAAATACAAAACACTTAAAAAAGCTGTTCACAGAATTAGTGACAGACAACTTCCCAAACAGAGGGGAAGAATTTGACATACAGATAAGTAAGGCATATAGGAGTCCAACGAGCAATGAACAAAAAAATCTACACCTAGACATATAATAGGCGAGGTTCAAGAAACTCAACAGAAGAACAAAATGCTACAAGCAGTTAGAAAAAAGAAACAAATCACATGCAAAGGAAAGCCCATCAGAATCACAGCAAACTTTTCAACACAAACACTCAGGTCAAGGAGAGCCTAGAGTGAGGTATTTCAAACCCTAATAGGAAACAACCTCCAACCTAGGCTAATGTATTCTGCAAAATTCTCTTTCAAAATGGATGGGGAAATAAGATATTTCCATGACAAAGAACTCCTGAAAAACTTCATGACTACCAAACAAGCACTCCAAACAATTGTAAATAATAACCTAGAAAAAAGACAATGAGGGTCACAACGCCATGAGGCTCAACAGAGCAAATCAATTAGGCAAGGCAAGAAATGAAATGGAGAGGGGAAAAAATTAAAAAGAGCCGACAATAGGACAATAACACTACAATGATAAATCAATACATATCAGTTATAACCATCAATGTCAGTGGCCTCAATTCACCAATGAAGAGAAACAGACTGGCAGAATGGATTAAGAATCAAAATCCAACAATATGTTGTATACAAGAAACACACCTAGTGCAAAAAGAAACCAACAGACTGAAAGTGAAAGGATGGAAAACAGTTCTCCATGCGATAAGAGCCCAGAAAAAAGCAGGGGTACCTATTCACAAAGTAAATTTCAAACCAAAACTGGTTAAGAGAGACAAAGAAGGCCACCAAATCCTTTTAGAGGGAACAATACAAGAGGAAGAAATGACAATCATAAATATATATGCACCAAATATTAATGCCTCCAACTACATAAAACGGATATTGAAGTATGTGAAAAATCAAATAAGCACTGATACAATTGTAGTGGGAGACCTAAATAGCACACTATCACAAACAGACAGATAATCTAGACAAAAAATCAACAATTAAATACTAGAACTGAACCAAGCTTTTGAACATATGGACTTAGTAGAAGTCTATTGAGTGTTCCAGCTCACAAAATCAAAATATACATTCTTTTCGGCTGCACATGGGTCATTCTCCAAAATAGACCACATACTACCACTTAAAAAAGATTTAAATAAATGCAAAGGAATCGAAATTATTCCATGTACATTATCAGAACATAGTGCAATTAAGTTGGAGATCAATAGCATAAGAAACCATAAGAACTTCACAAAGTCATGCAAATTGAACAACACTCCTGAACAATCAATGGGTCACAGAGGATATTAAAGAAGATATTGGACAGTTTTTACAAATAAATGATAATGCCAATACAACATAGAGGAATCTTTGGAACACAATGAAAGTAGTTCTATGTGGAAAATTCATAGCAGTGAATGCCCACACTAGGATTACAGCGTGAGCTCAAACAACCTAATGATAAGTCTTAGGCTCCTACAAAAAGAAAAGCAAGAAAAACCCAAAGATTGTACAAGGGAGGAAATTATAAAGAGCAGAAATCAATTGA